CGTTGCAAGGTATTTACATGCCAGATATGCTAAACATCTGTGTGCCCCTTCATGCTTTGGCCACCATTCCAGAGGACATGCTTCCATGCTGATGATGCTCGTTAAAAAAATGTGTCAATTAAATTTGTGACTATACTCCTTGGGGGGGGGGGGAGAACTGTATGTCCCCTGCTGTTTTACCCTCATTCTATCATATATTTCATGTTATAGCAGTCTCGGATGATGACCCAGCACGTATTGTTCATTTTAAGAACACTTTCACTGCAGATCTGACAAAACGCAAAGAAGGTACCTATGTGAAATTTCTAAAAATAGCTACAGCATTCGACCCAATGTTTAAGAATCTGAAGTGCCTTCCAAAATCTGAGAGGGATGAGGTGTGGAGCATGCTTTCAGAAGTCTTAAAAGAGCAACACTCCGATTCGGAAACTACAGAACCCAAACCACCAAAAAAGAAAATCAGCCTTCTGCTGGTGGCATCTGACTCAGATAATGAAAATGAACATGCATTGGTCTGCACTGCTCTAGATTATCGAGCAGAACCCGTCATCAGCATGGACGCATGTCCCCTGGAATGGTGGTTGAAGCATGAAGGGACATATGAATCTTTAGTGCATCTGGCACGTAAATAGCTTGCAACTCTGGCTACAACAGTGCCATGAGAACACTTGTTCTCACTTTCAGGTGACATTGTAAACAAGAAGCGGGCAGCATTATCTCCTGCAGATGTAAACAAACTTGTTTATCTGAGCGATTGGCAGAACAAGAAGTAAGACTGAATGAGTAAGACTCTAAAATTTGACCTTGTTTTATTTTTGAATGCAGTTTATTTGGTACATAATTCTACATTTGTAAAGTATCAGAGGGGTAGCTGTGTTAGTCTGTATCCACAAAAACAACGAGGAGTCCGGTGGCACCTTAAAGACTAACAGATTTATTTGGGCATAAGCTTTTGTGAGTAAAAAAACAACAACACTTCTTCAGATGCAAAGAAGTGGTTTTTTTACTCACAAAAGCTTATGCCCAAATAATTCTGTTAGTCTTTAAGGTGCCACTGGACTTCTCTACATTTGTAAGTTCAAGATAAAGAGATTGCACAACAGTACTTGTATTAGGTGAATTGAAAAATACTATTTTGTTTTTTTATGGTGCAAATACTTGTAATAAAAAAAATAAAGTGAGCATTGTACACTTTGTATTCTGTGTTGTAATTGAAATCAATATATTTGAAAATGTAGAAAACTACCACTTATTTAAATATTTTGGATTTCTGTTATTGTTTAACAGTGTGATTTAAGCATGATTAATTTTTTTTAATTGCTTGACAGCCCTAATTTAAAGGCATCAAGGTTTGCAAATAAGCAAAGAAATATGTTCTGGTTTTGAGTTTAAGAGGCAAGTATAAACAATGTAGTAACAAAATCAGTGCTATTTATCACTTTAACCATCTTGGGAAAATTGTCATAAAAGATTACCAGCCCAGGCACAGGTTCTACTCACCTGCCTTTGTTGTGGTGATTACAATATGAAATTTTACTTGCCTGTCAAAATATGTTACTTGCCTTAGGTGAGTAGAACCTTGCGAGGCTGTTTTGAATAGTATGAGAGGATTTACTTCAGTATATTTTTAAATATAGAATATTTGTAGGTAATAAATGTAGATAGTAAATGTTGTTGGAGCATTTAATGAAACCATACAGCAAGTTTAATAACTTAAATTCAAATTATCACTCATCTTATACTACATAAGTTAATTTGTAGGGCCTCCCCACGCTTACCCTAGAATAATAATTTTTAGCTGCAACTTGATCTTGTTGTATGCCTAGGCCAAGCTGGAGACATCTAGCAAAGTAGAAAGTAGCCATAGCAACCCCTTTGGTTATGTATACAGGAAGGCAATCGGTTATCTTTGCTAACATATCAATGTTATCGTTTTCTGCAATCCTGTTGTAAAATTTACAATATAAGGTTAGAGGTGAACATTTCAAGCTTTGATAGAAATCAGCTCTATGAACCATAAAGAGACAGCGTCAAAGCACGCGCTTTGTGCCCAACTTCAGTTAAGTTGGGAATTCTGTTGATAATGGTATGAACTTAAAGCATCTCTAGCAAAACAGGTTTTAAATGTACATACAGACTTGAGCAGTGAACATGATTCTCCTATTTTGAGTAACTTGATTCATATAAGAATTAGTGAGCAAATACACTATCACTTTGGTCATTTTCACCACAACTGCACTAATTATAACAAAAGTGTTTCACACAAATTGTTTGTTTCTACCAAACTGTTAACAGTTTAGTGGAAAATAAAGTAAAACTTGAGTGGCCAAGCTTTACAGTTTTAAAAAAAGTATCATTCCAAATCATTAATGTGGATTTACCAATACCTTGTTATCTGAAGATCTAGGGCAACCTCTGAAAACTTCAGGTAAAGAGGACTTTGGATACTTAAGACCATCACCTTCTGGAGTTCCCCAACAGACATTACTAACCTTTAATGAACTGGAATTCAGTTAGTCATGGTTTGCTAGTACACTCAAAGGGATTTTGAGTTTTCTTTAAATTAACTTTTTTTAAACCTCAAATTTGATACAGCACTTCTTAAATAGTAATGCCTGAAATATATATATTTAAATCCTGTCAGTGCATGTATCTGCCTGCTGCATTCTCGATATCAGCTTTGCTGTTACTGGTAAACACCCTCTTGAAGGGTCTGGGGAAGAGCGTGCACATAAGGTCCCCAAACCATCTATGAGAATGATGTCATGCTAATACACAAGTCAGGAAATGCAAGTGACCACTTGCAAAGAGCTGTTAAATACAAAGTAAAACAGACAAATGAAGAAAGCATTACAGTAAACTAGGAGTTGCACGTAAAATATTAGGTCTAAAATTTTCAGATGGAGATGTGATTTTTTTCAAGTTTGTGTCTAAATACATTTACCACTTAAAATATACCAAAAAAAATTAGTACTACTTCTGTCTACACAGCAAGGATTCTGCTTTTTCCTGCACTGTGAGATGTTAGCAGTGTCAAACTGTTGCAGGGAAAATACAAAATCCTGAATTCCAGCCTTGGTAGGAAAATGGAGATGCTTTATTCAGTTTTATTTTAAACTATAAAAGTGCAATTGAGTTAAGCCTATAGACATACCATATGAATCACTATCAGTGAATCTGATTCTGTTTAATCCTCAACAAATCCTTGCCTGCTAACTAAATCACATGCATGCATTTGCAGTAATGTTCTTCCACCTAATGTGATCACCTTTAGCAAATGACAGCTAAAACAAGGAGATATGGCGACTCATTAAAAATTAAAATAGCATCAAGCAATGGTCTGGTTCTTGCAGCTTACATTTAATGTCCTCTGATAAGAAAAACAAGGGAATGTATTTTTGCCCTCCCCTTCAAAATATAATAGCCTACCAATGCAAATAATAGCCAGTAATCTTAATCAGCATGCATAGACAAAGGACTTGGTGATTGGCACTGTCTACTGAGTGTTTTGTTAAAGGAGATACCATGGTGATGAGCACAGTTTAAAGAAAGCTATATAAAATAGGAAGACAATTCTTCAAGGCTACAATATAGACGTGGCCAATCCCAACTCCAAACATAAGGCGTGAGCCTGAGGGCAGGTCTACACGACAGCCCAAGTCAATATAACTTACGGCGCTCAGGGGTGTTAAAAAGTCCCCCCCCCACCCAAGTGATGCAAGTTTTGCGCTGTCCACACTGGCGCTATGTCGCAGGAGATGCTCTCACCAAGGTGGAGTAATTATGCCAATGGGAGAGCGCTCTCCTGTTGCCATAGCACGTCTTCACCAGATGCGCTACAGTGGCGCAGTTGCATCAGTGCAGCTGTGCTGAAGTAGTGCTGTAGAGTAAACTTGCCCTGAGATGTGACTTAAAATAAGTGGATAACACAGAGCTCTCTTTTATGTTGGTGGGAGTGATGTAAGACTGCAAAGGGGAAATTTGTCATGATCTTATTAAATAAATGTCCCAGATTTGTATGGCAATTAGGGCATATTGACTTGGAGGTTACAGAAGTAGTGTTATCTGTTTTATATAAAGTGCAGCAAATTGGTATACAGAAGGTACATGGGAAGGCACAGGGACAGGAGCAAAGAAGATGCTGATGCCTGACGTGACAACTACTTGCTCTGCTGGCAGACTTCTGGCCCAAGAACATCAACCGTTCCAGTGAGATGGGATTGCTTTGAGAACGACAATACATTTTCCTTCAGAAGTTATTTATGGCTATAACCTATTACGGCTTCTTTGTGAAAAGATGACTACAGCTAACAAGGTGCGCCCTTTTCTTGTCAGAATAGCCTGCTGGACCGCAGTGGCTAAAGGACAAACTCCAACTGATTGATATGGCCAGTGCATGGTTACCATTCTATCTACACTGCATGTGAAAGAATGGGAGCTAGGCTCAAGACCAGCATGATTTTTGGGGATTCAGTGGTGAATAAAAATAGAAGGTTGTTTGGCTAAAAATCTCAATTTCTGGACTGTCAGAACTTGAACCCTGAAATCCAAATCTTGAAATTCTGCCACTCCTAGTTCTATGTAATTTTCCTTGGCAGCATCCCTTTGTTCTTCATTCCTTAGATGCTTTACAGTAGTATCATAAATAGATGCATTTTTACCACCTGAAAGGATGAGTTCTTCTTCGAGTGCTTGCTCATATCCATTCCATTAGGTGTGTGCGCGCCGCGTGCACGATCGTTGGAAGATTTTTACCCTAGCAACACCGGCGGGTCGGCTGTGGAGCCCCCTAGAGTGGCGCCTTCATGGCGCTGAATATATACCCCAGCCGACCCGGCGCCCCCTCAGTTCCTTCTTACCGCCCCTGACGGTCGTTGGAACTGTGGAGCGCTGCTTAGCTGTTCTCCACTTTCCCTAGCTTAGTTAGTCATTCGCAGTTTAGTTGTTATTGTAGTTCAAGGGATTAGGGGGGTCGTCTCCCCCCCTTTCTCCCCCGACCGCGGGGCCGGGCTCATGCCCAACGCTCCCGGCTTTAAGCAGTGCGCCTCCTGCGCTAAGCCTATGCCCACGAGCGACCCGCACGACTCCTGTCTGAAGTGCCTGGGAGAGTCACACCAGACAGACAAGTGTAAAATCTGTAAGGCCTTTCGTCCGAGAACCAAGAAGGAGCGGGACTTTCGGCTCCGGCAACTCCTGATGGAGTTAGTCCGGACGCTCCATCTACAAGTCAGGCCCCGGCACCTAGCGCCTTGGTGCGCAGGCCCCAGGCGCCGCCGGCTGCGACGACCACGCGAGTGG